TTTCTGTGATTGTTACTTTAACATTCTTGTTCATGGTAAACATTCAAACAGTACATAAAATAAACAGAATTAAGCAAAAACCCCCCAGAACCTCTCTACCTGCAATTCTCACTTCATAGGGGTAACCATTGTTTTTCAAAAATTTTAATTAACCTTCCAGAAAAATAGATACATATAATTGCAAACACTCTTCCCCCAACATTTAGAAAATATAAATAGAATCATATTATTCTGCAACTTTTCTTCAACCAGTAAGAGATCTTTGACAACTTCCATTATCAGGATATATAAATACACTTCATTTTTTAATGACTGCATAATTTTTTAATGAATGAATGCTGATTTTTTAAAACCAGTCTCTTTTCCACAAACATACAAATTGTTTTCTTTCTTTGTTTTTTTTTATTTTTGCTACAACATATGATGCTCTAAAGAACCTTTTTTGCATCCTTATATGAGCTGTCTGTAGCAATTTATAGGAATAAAATTGCTGAGGCTAAGGGTACAGCTCTCTCTCTCTCTCTCTCTCTCTCTCTCACACACACAAACACACACACACACACACACAATATGTGTCTGTGTGTAAAATCTTTTCAAATATGTGTACCTGTATATACGATATATAAGTGTATGTATATCTTCAATACTTACAAACGTGTATATATACATGATGGGCAAAAATAGGTTTACAGTTGTTCCTATGGAAAAAAAATGCAGGTTATAATAATACAAAAATAAACTTTGTGTTTCATGTACTTACAACTGTAAACCTACTTTTGCCCACCACTGTATATTGATATATATACTTGTCATAATTTTGAGTTATAGTAGTGCAATTGCTGAGACAAAGGGTACATACACGCACATACAATTTTAATAAATACTGTCAAGTTGCCTTCCAAAACAGCCGCACCACGTGGCGATAATGGATAGGAGTGATTGTTTCCTGACAACTTTGTCAATGTCACCACTCCTTTTCATTTTTGCCACACCTACAGATAGTATCATTGTTTCTGCTGTATTGCTTTACTGATAAATAAAATTAAATATCTTTTCATGTGTTTTTGACCACTTGACTGTTTGTATATCCTCTACTATAAACTTCCCATTACATTGTTTGCTCATTTTTACTGGCTTATCTTTTTACTCATTTATTTATACATTCTAGAAGTTAATCTTCTGTCACGTATTCAAACGATAGTTCTTAAATCTTGCTTATGGTGCATTTGCCTTTATATTTTTGGGTTTTTCCGTTTGAGCATGTATAATATTACGGTAGTTTCTCATAGAACTTTTGCTAATCAAGAGACATCTATGAGAAAACTAGTGTCCTGACAGGGGGAGGGGGCAGGGAAACATAAGAGAAACTGTGTTACGTAAAATGCCCTCTCCTATCTTTGCCTATGGAATGAATTTGCTAATCTGAAATAGAAAATCATTTTTCCCAATTAAAAAACGCAAATCTACAGAGTCAGTTTTTTCTGTTTTTCTTGTTTGTTTGTTTGTTTTTAGGCAAAAGGAAGAGAGCAAAGAAAAGCTCCAACATCAGTCTTCCTCTATCTGCAAATATGACTCACTGATTACTCACTCCCTCTGGTCTTCGGTACAACAGAAGACCACAGGCTTACAGTCCAAAGACCTTTGTGATTCCAACAATGGCACTTGCTGGCCATAAAGTATTTGAGATTTGAGCCCCTCTGGGTTCCTGTTTCCCCACTTGTAAAATAAGGGTAGTAATCCCAAATTCAAAGAGCCACTGTGAAGATAAAATAAATAATACATGTGAAAGTGCATATACATAATACTGTGCAGTTCTTGTTCATACTTTTTTTGCATAGCACATAACCAAAAGTCATTTGGAATTTCAGAAGTCTTTGAAATGCCAAAAATCCATTGTTTTTCTAAAGATTCATCTTCATAATTGTATTTTGCTGAGTCTAATATTAAAATTAGAATTCCCCTGCATACCACAACAAAACACAGGTATTGGGCAGCAGGGGAAAACCAAGATGGAATTTGTTTAAATTTTAAAATGTATAATCACTGAACACAGACCTTACTGTATAATAATCTTATTCAGTCCTCTCACTCAAACAGCATTCCTCTGAAGTGGGCTACTCCCCTTATCCCAGAACAAATTTGGGTAGAGAGGAAATGGCTATAGATTAAGCTATACAGGCCCAATCAATACAGACATCTCTGAATTTAAACTTAAGAGGGAAACTGAGATCCCTCAGGCATAATGGGATAACATGATGTTTTAGTTTTATATGTCAACTTGGGTAGGCTATGGTACCCAGTTGTTTGGTCAAACACTAATCCAGATGTTGCTGTGAAGTTTTGTTTTGTTTTAGATATAACTAACATTTAAATCCACAGACTTTGAATTAAGCAGATTTTCCTCTATAATGTGCATGGGCCTCATCCAATCAGTTGAAGGCCTTAAATGAAGAGACCGAGGTTCCCCAAGGAAGAAGGAATTCTGTCTCCAGGCTGCCTTCTGATTCAAAACTACAACTTTAACTCTTCCCTGAGTCTCCAGCCTGCCAACCTGTCTTGCAGATTTCAGACTTGCCACCCCCTACCATCTGGTCAGCTAACACCTTCACACACACACACACACACACACACACACACACATACCAATAATTTCAAGAGATGTTTTGCACAGGTCTTCTTGCCCTCACCCACCGCAGTTTATTGCTACAGCTAATCACCCTGCCTGGACCCACGAAACCCTCATTCTCTGACTTCTCCAGGGTCCTTAAATACTACTATGCTGAAATTGGGCATGATTTTTCCTCCAGGATGCTTTCTCTGAACTATCCATTCCCTAAATTGCGCCTCATTTGTTGCCATAAAACAAAATATCCTCATTATAATTGTAATTATAATCTCTCCTATGAAGTTTTCTTTGGGGGGAGGTGCATCGTTGTGGTGCAAGACACAACAGGAAATGGCTCCCATGGAGTTTGTGGAGTTGCTTATTACTGTTAAATAGAAACAATTACATATTTCCTGCATGCTAAATGTAATATAAAACAAAACAAAACACACGTGATATGATGGCATCTGAAAGAGGAATAGTCTCTGAGGCAAGGAGCTAGCCTGTAAAGACCAGAAAAAATAGGCATTCATTCTAGACACAGGAGTAGCAAGTAGCCTTAGCACCCAGCACGCTGTTTCCCGAAATTCTGAGTCACATGGGAGAGCGGAAAGGTGCATTTGTAAAAAATCTAAAGAGATCTTTAGCGTGGCTATCTAAATTGGTCGCTGAGGGATGGAATGGAGGAAGCCTGCTGCTAGACCTGACCTGTCAGATACGGTTGGAGGCTTGGACAATCCAAGCCTCACTTTCCTCCTCCTTTGATCTGTCTGCTCTCTAGCCCCGGATCCACGTCGGCAGCTAGGCCACTGGGCCGGGGCCCATGAAGAAGCCTCTGAGAGGCGTGCCACCTTTAGACTCCAAAGCCTGGGCCTAGTCCCACATCCTCTCTTACACGCCCGGCCGGCCAGGCCTCGACTCCGGCCCTCGAGGCTCTGGATCCAGGAAGGCTCACTGCATGCCCGGCGGTTGAGGCACAGGGTCAGCATAGCCCGCGCGAAAGTGGCGTCCTGAGCTCGACTTCCCGCCGCCGGGGAGCTGGCGAGCCCGCAGTCAAGCTCTATGCAACCCGAGAGCCGGACCCCGACAGATTGCACTCTGGAACCCGGCTCCTCCACGTCCTCTGGCCACGTCCGTGTCCTCGACACACCCCTGCTATACGCTGCTCCTTTCTTTCCTTCCCCCGCTTTTTCTGCTCCGAGTGGACAGCGCCAGGGAAGGGGGAGGAGTGTCCACAAAAAAAGGACCACCGATGTGGGAGAAAGGGGGAAAGATGGGGGAGGGGAGCAAAGCGCCGAGGGAGCACTGAGAGGGGTCAGGCAAGGAGAGGCGAAGGTGTCGGAGGAGGAGGCTACTCCCAGCTCAGGGCCGGAGAGGTAGAACTCGGGGAGGAGGCGGGGTGAGCCGAAGACACGCGGGAGCAGCCGGTGGGGGAGGGGAGCGCCGGGGCAGCAGGAAAGAGGAAGATGCTTAAAGGTTAAAAACGAAAATAAAAAACTGCCGGGTGAAATGACCGGTTCTCGACCCACCCCGGGGCCTTTGGCAAGGCAGAGAGTAGGGTGAGGAAGGGGTGTCCGACCCAGCAGGGACCCCATTGTTGGGGTTCCGCTCCACCTACCTGATCCGCCGCTCGGCCCCGCGCTCCCGCGGAGCCAGCGCCACGCTGTGTCGAGGAGTCGCATCGGCGGCACGCGGCGGTTCCCCTTAATTTCTCTCCTTTCCCATCTAGAAGTAGAGCATAGCGCCATTTCTTTCAAAACTGGTATCCAGCCTCCTGAATGGCGGGTAGAGCAATGACGTGATCTAGCTTGCTTTCTTTCTTTTTCTCTTCTTAAATAACCCGGTTTGGAGAAATGACAGGCCCTGGGCGAGGAGCACGAGAAATAAAGTAAGGGAAACGGGAGCCTGAGCGAAAAGCCGCGGAAGCGCCAGTCCGTTTCTGGTGGCAGTCAGGTGACGGGCGCTGAGGGGGCGGGCTGCCTGGAGATGCGTCTGTCGTCAGGACCTGGAGCTGTCACCCCGTGGGGCGCCCGCGAGGAGGCTGTGTGTGGAGGGTGGGGGTGGGGGTGGGGGTGGGGGTGGGGGAGCACGGATAGGCGGGAAAGAGGAGGTGGGGGAGGGAGAGAAACCTAGGACTCTAGTCGCCGGCGCGCTCGCCGCCCTCGGACCGCCTTTCCTGCGCGCGCTGAGCGCTGAACGGTCCGGAGATCTTGAGAGGTCGGGGCTGAGCGGGCGCGCGCCGCGAGCACGGGTGCGCGCCTGCGGGGCGGTGATGGGCGCCTCGGCGGCGCGTGGGTCTCAGTTTGAAATCCGGAGAGGGGGGCGGGCACGGCGCTGCTAACCTCTGATGCCAAGAGGCGGCGCAGCGCCCGCGCAGCTCGGCAGCGACGAGAACATGGTGCATACCTATTTGGTCACGGTGCGGATTCGGCGCGTGAGTGGCCCACCGCGAGTGAGAGCTTTCGTGGTACAAATCCCGCGGCCCGTGGGCGAGTGGGCAGCGCCGGCTTTGCGGGCCGCCGCGGCCCTCGTGCTGACGCTAGTGAGGAGCCAGCGCAGAGCGCGGCAGCCGCATCCTGGAAGACCAGGTAGGAAAGGCCGCGGAAAGAACCGGCGCAATCGGCCTTGAGAGGATTTTGGTGGGCGTGATTTTAAAACACAGATAAATCATCTTCCCGGGGGTGGAGGCTCATTTCAGTCCCTCCATATGGATCCCACTTACTTAGAGGGGAGGTTCTGTCAATATACTGAGCTCGGAGCTCCTTCACACAACTCCTTAATCCCGTAAAACTCTGGGTGAAATGGGAGGATCTAAACCCACTTCAGAAGTACCCGTGGATTTCCCGGATGGCACACACACACCACACCCTCAAATACCAAAGGTGTATTTCTAGGTGTATGTTTTCCTGGAAGAAAGTACTACTAACAGTCTCAGTTTAATGGAGGCCGCCTTTTTTCTGACCAGCCTTCTTGCTGGATCAGCCTTCCCTTCTTCCAGTAATCCCCGGTGACCTGACTTGACGAAGTAGTAACACTGGTCGGAGGACCGGTAACTAACTAGTAAGTGGAGAACTGGCAGTCAAAATGGGCTTTCGTAGCGAGTGGCAGATAGTGAGTACCAGGTTTATTTGATGGAACATACTCAGATCTCTTGGAACAAAGGCCGAATGTTTAACAGAATCATTTCAGACCACAATTAACACTTGAAAAAAAGATGAGGCCTACTTCTTGAAAAGTAGGCTCCTAAGTAGTTTTGTCTTTACATCAGATAAATCTTGATACAGTCGGTGCAATTTCTTATGGCCAGAATAATGGAAAATATATATAGTTACAATATATTTTCCTATTAGAACTTGGATAATAACTCTAAAAACAATTTAATGAGGTTTCACTTTTGTGACCATTCTTGTTGCATCATTTCCTCTGGAATATATGTTTTAAAATGAAAAGGCCAGCAAAGGGGTAATTAGTTGTTAGTGTAACATTAATAGGCTTTTTCATATGTAAATGTAAAACTGTTACAACTATCAGTGTTTAATTAAGTGCCTCAATTTCTATTGGCAAATGTCTACTACAATTTCTAAGGCAAATCGCATTTTCTTTTTCATATTATTATGAAAGTTCAGTTTTTAAAGAATCCGTAGCAGAAGCATATAAGGAATTTCATAAGATGATCCTGTTTTTTTAATGCTGCTTTATTCATAGCAGCAAACGTTTAGCCACTATGATATGTTTTTGAGTATCATAGTTGTTAATATTACTCTATATAGAGCTATTTTAATTATTTTGTACTAGAAATCTGCATAACAAAGCAGAACATGTAGTAAAACACATACTACATGTGTTTTCTAGTTGAAGAATACATGATATAATATTGTGATTACTTTAAGTTATAGAAAATATTTTATAGTATATTTATTGTATAAAATGTTAAAAATATAAAAATGATAGGTTCATTGAAAAAAGCCATTCATTTCTTTTTATTTAGGCATAAATCAATTTTCAGGAATGATGTGTGAAGTTATTTTAAAATACAATGACTATATGAAAGCCCAATTTTCAGCAAATATCTGAAGACAACACATGACTTTGAAAGAATAGAATGTCTTGAAAATATGTGCAATTCTCCAACTTTATATGTGAAATTATACACATAGATAAACATTTGGAAGTATTCATTATAAATGATAAGTAATTACAAATTGGGTAATTATGTTGGAATTTATGCAATCTTTGAAAGTCACAGTGCTAAAAAATAACTTATATGAATTATTTAATATTAATGTAAAATGTAACATGTTATTATTTTAACATATTTTTAGTTTCTGTGAATTCATTGACTATGACTTTATGATTGAAAATGTATATAATAAAATTCCACACATTACTAGGTTTTTTACCACACATGGCTGATGAATTACATTAATTGATTTGTTACTTCTATGTTGGTGTGTTTACAAAATAGTGCTCTTTTTATGAAATTAAATATCTATTTGTTGACTACTATTTGGAAACTCTTAGGGTTTTTAGTGTATTCTCAAGGTAAGCACTGTAGAGTTAGCATAAACCACTACTTTCAGTGAGTGTGTGATCCCCAGCTTGTATTGTTCTAAGTGAACAATAACCATTTCAGGAATCATTTCCTTCTTAATATTCATGTACTTCTTTGAATTTTAAAAATTCCATTGTCTTCCAGGGTAAGAATAACATAGCCTATTGCTGTCTATGACCAGAATATTTTACAGGTCTGCTAATCACATACTAGTTCGTTGCTACTAGTATGGTAAAGTTGAGCTAAACCATTTTCCCAACATGTGAGTAACTCCTGTAAGTAAACTGATCCACATCATCCCAAAAATACTTTAAGTATTCCAGGAGACTTAACAGCTGGCCCAGCAATTTTACTCTTTTAAAACCTTTAATCCTTTTTTGAGAAGTATAATCTCACTTAGCCCCATTCTAAAGCTGGCTGTGCCTATCCACAACGTAGTTCATTTTTAAGTAACTGGTAAATATAGGATAAATGCATAATTATACCTATTTTCAAGGCACCTGAGAGTTAGGCCTCTGGTCTCAACACGTGCTTGCCTTCCCCACAGACTTGAGGCTGGGGCTCTCCTGCTTCTGGAGCTGAGCTAGCGATTTCTCAGGACCTGAGGGTGCACAACGTGGGAAATGAGGCTCAAGCTACTTGGAGAGACCTCTCCCACCTCCCCCCACCTCCTAGCTCCTACCACTGTCCTGGACCCAATTCCTAGAGATGAAGCAGTATCCCAAAGATTTAATTGGCAGGTGGAGTAGGGATCTCCAGCAAGAGTTTAGAAGCTGACCCACTTATCACTCCACTCCACAGACGCATTCTTTCTACAGCCTCTCCTGGGCTCCCATCCCAACTTTTTCCACAGGTAAAATTTGATCAGAATAACAGTAACTGCAGACCAGGGGTTATATGTAGAGCTTGGCTGGGAACCTCACTGGTGCAGAAGGAAGTGGGGGCAAGCAGGCTGTGAGCGGGCCTTGTGTATTCAGAAGTTAGGTAAGACAGGAGACTTCTCTAGGTCACTCCCCCTCCTCAGCTTGAAACTGGGAAGTTCTTTGTTTTTTCTGGAGAGGAAGGGTGAGAATGGGTTAGGTGCATTCGTGGGGAAGATTTTAAAACTGAAGGTCATTGTGTGCCTTTCTGTTCCAGGGGGTGACCAGAGTGTTGAAAGGCCACATTCTCTTTGTTTCTCTGTCTGGGTTGCAAGGAGAATGGCCCGTATTTTTCCAGTGATGTTGCTCAGGTGTTTTCTTCTTATACTGAAACTCCCCCTCCTCAGTTAAATCATTCTCATAAAGTCATTTATTAGAATGAAAAACATCTGTAAACCCTATAACAAAGTCAACTTCTATGACAATCATGCAACCAATGGAGAAAACTTTGGAATAAAGACCGTTTTGTAGGGAAAGGAAGGTCCTTTTAAAGGCTCTGCTCCATTTTAGAAAATGCCTTCCAATTTGGGACCTCCACAATTTCATCGTATCCTAATTCACAGTATTTCAGTGTGCATTCAGCAATACCATGTGTATTGAAAATTACTGAATTTACTAAGTATTAATAGCACTTTCTTTTTTAAAGAAGGGAGTATTGAAGAAAATCTCTACTTGTCAGTACAGTTATTCATTTCATCAGCCCTAGAATGATTGTTGCAAGTGGGCAGAGCTACATAATCAGGAAGAAGTAATAAAAGGGAAAAATTTAAACTATCAGTTAGAAAATTTAAAATTCCAGTGCCTCAGAGATCCTTTGAAAAAGAATAAGTTGATTTTTATTTTATATTATAAATAACGATGGCTTTGTTTATAAAAATATGAACATTTTATTACAACTAGCTCTCAGTTTTCCCCATTACTTTCAAAAAATAAAATCTTAGAAATTATTTAAATGGTTGCAAAGCCAGTAAGAATTTTTAAGAGAAGAAAGGCTTTGTAGAGGTTCAGAACTATATGAGCAAAGATATGTAATCTCTTAAACAAAGTGAAACTAATAAAATTGTATAGAGTGGTGTAAACAAATGTGCCTGTACTTTCTTAATTCAAGCATGAAAAGTCAAGGAAGTAGGAAAAGATTATCAGCAGCATCATTACCTGGGCTGCTGTTTACAATACATATTTCTGGGGCTACCTCCCAAAAAAATCTGATTCAGTAGATTTGCTATGGTTCCCAATAATCAGCATTTTTAAAAGGCACGTGAGGGGGGTTGTGTTTCAGGTGGCTCATTTGCAATGTGCAACACTATTGACAAATTCGGCCAATGTGCTTTTAACCTTACTTTTGCTTATTTTTAAATTGAAGTCCAGCTTTTAAGTCAGATTTCAATTTTTACAATCAGTCAATGGCATTTTGGATTCTGGGACACTGAGTCTGAGTCATTAGGAGGAGCTATTTTACTAAATGAAGGAGAGCTTTTATTATGTAATCCTTCATCTGAATTGGAAAACATTGTCTCTTTTAATACTACAGGCCATTCTCCATGCCATCTGGCACCCCAGACAGGGAAACAAAAAAGATGAGGCCTTTCAACACTCTCGTTGCCACTTGGAGTGGAAGGGCACAGATTTTTATGATCAGAACATATTTTGGGGGGAAAGATGTAACAGGATATACTTGTGCGTTAAAGCTTGTAACATCAGAGAGAAAATTTCCACATAAGACCCTTAGGATATCTAATCTTTGTAGAACACTGCATACATGTACCCCTGTTTATATAGAATGAATGGTGCCTTCTTGATAGGTACATAGATAGATAGATAGGTAGATTCGGGTTCACACAACAACCTAAAATTAAGTAAGTAAGGAAAAACAAAAGATAGAAGTGTTTCACAGGTTTAAATTATATTTAAGACCAAGACAAAGTTGCAGTAAAATGTGGCCATAACAGAATAAAGCATTTATGGACAAAATGATGGGCCTTTGTGTCTCTCTAAAAATGCATTGATGTGAGGGGAAATATATATACATGAACAACACAACCTAAAAATAATTTGCAAAAACAAGAAAAACTAAAATATTATGCTTTCCAAATAATATATTTTCTCTGCTTTGAAA